GTCTGCGGCTGGGGTGGGATATAGGGCAATGAGCGTTGAGCAGTGTGCGATGAGCAATGAGCAATGAGCAGTGAGCAGCCCCTCCCGAAACAAAGTGAAGCGCAGGACGGGGTCCGGTGGATGGGAGGCAAGGAAGCGCGGGGGTTGCCACGTGCGCTACCGCCGCCGCCGCAGGCAGCACCCCTGCGGCGGCGGCAGCGGCAGCAAGCCGTGGACCCAACCGCCGTGCCGCCGCCGCCGCAGGCAGCAGCCCTGCGACGGCAGCGGCAGCAAGCCGTGGACCGAAACGCCGTGCCGCCGAGTCCCGTGGCTGTGGCCGTGGGCTTCTGGCAGGAAGCTACGGCCGCAGCTCGGCGGCACGGGGGCGTCGCAGCGTGCCGCCGCCGCCGCCGCGCTGCCCCCCAGGCACGGCGGCGGCAGCAGCAAGCTTGGGCCCAAACGCCGTGCCGCCGAGTCCCGTGGCTGCGGCCGTAGACTGTGGGCCGGAAACTGCAGCCGCAGCTCGGCGGCACGCGGTTCTGTTCAAGTCGCCAAGCGTGCAGCAGCGCCGAACCACGCTTCCCGGCCTCGGCGCATGCCTTCAGGGGCCCCCTATCGCTGGGCACACCCCTCCAACACTGAACATGCGCCCGGGGGGAGGGCGGCCCGGGCTGCCCAGGCCAAAGTGGGCCGCCCTCGAGCAAGAGGCGGCCGGTCTGTGTGCTGAATGAATGAATGAACGAATGAAGCCTCGGATCGCAGCGCCCCTGACGCGCCACCCTGGCGCGACACCACACCGGTGACTGCCCACCCACCCGACACCACAGAGTGCGCGTTCCAGCTGTCCAATCCCGAAGTTGGCTCGTCGCACAGCAGTACCGCGGGCCTGTTGATCATGCTGACCCCGACGTTAGTCCGCTTGGCCTCGCCCCCGCTGATGCCGCGCACCAGGGCGCCGCCGATGGCGGTGTGCTGGCAGTCCTCCAGGCTCAGCCTGCAGGCTCGGGGGGGAGGGGAGTGATCACACATGGGTGTTACAGCCACCCCGCTATGATAGGCCTCATGCGAGCAGACCTTGGGGCAGGGGGCAGGCGTGATACAGGGGCATCTGTCATCGGCCGGGGTGCCTCTTGAGCCGCCTCCCCACCGCCCAGCTGGCCCGAGGCAGCCAGGGGGCCCTCGCCCCTCTGCTGCGCGCTCCCGCCCCCGCCTCCGCCCCTCTGCCCCCGCTTGCCTGTCGACGAGCGCGGCCACCACGCGCTGCTTCTCCCCCACCGGCGTGCCCCGCGGCTGCTTCAGCTCCGCCGTGTACAGCAGCATCTCGGCGGGCGTGAGCAGCGGCAGCAGGGTGTCGTGCTGCTCCACGTAGCCGACGTCGCGGCGCAGCAGCGCAGCGGACGGCGGCCGGCCGTTGAACAGGATGGCGCTGTCGGGGGCCAGCCGCCCGGTGGTCTTCCTGGCTGATAGCAGGTCGAGCAGCGTGGACTTCCCTGAATCAAAACGGTGGCGGCGGCAGCAGGGCCGGCAGATGCATGCTCGGCCACGGCGTTCGTCGCACCCCGGCTGCCATGGCTGATCCCTGGTCGACCACGCCCCTCCCCAGCCTGCTCACGCGGCCCATCACAGCGGGGTGACTGTAAGTAACACACTGGCAGGGGCGCTCTCCTCGCCACCTGTCCCCTCACCGGAGCCGCTGGGGCCAAGCACCGCCGTGAGCTGCCCCGGCCGCGCATACCCGCTGACCTCCCGCAGCAGCGGCAGCCACCGCCGGCGCCGCCCCCTGCCCTGGCTGAT